ACCGATTTTCTCGTCAATCGAGACAAGGGCAAGGCGATTTTTGAAAACCCCTCGATGAATCGTATGTAATAGCCTGCTAGTCCGAGGAAACTCTGGATCTCGGTGGCATTTTTCGGTGTCGACTAGTTCTGGACCGCCTCAATCTTTCTTGGGTCTACTTCAATCTCTCTGTATGTGACAATGTGACTATGGAAAGCCACTCTGTCAAGCTAAAACTCGCACTTTGATAATTTGGCGTACAACTTCTCCCGTCAAAGAGTCTCCAATACTGTCCTCAAGTGCTCCTCGTGCTGCTCTGGACTGCGGGAATAGACCAAAATGTCATCAATAAAGACGATGACAAACTGGTCTAGCAACGGATGAAAAACACGGTTCATGAGATCCATGAATACCGCAGGCGCATTGCTCAAGCCAAACGGCATCACTACGAACTCATAGTGACCGTATCTCGTTCGGCACGCTGTTTTGGCCACATCGGCCTCTCTAATCTTCAGCTGATGGTAACCAGAACGCAGATCTATCTTGGAAAACACACTGGCTCCCCTCAGCTGATCAAACAAATCCTCTATCCTGAGGAGCGGATACTTGTTCTTCACTGTCAACCGGTTCAACTCCCGGTAGTCAATGCACATACGCATGGATCCATCTTTCTTCTTGACGAAGAGGACGGGTGCTCCCCACGGTGATATGCTCGGTCGGATGAAACCGAGACTCAAAAGCTCCTGAATCTGAGACTTCAACTCCTAAGCTCCCTCGGCGCCATACGATACGACATTTTCGACACGAGTCCTGCTCTAAGGACTAAGTCGATGGTAAATTCCACCTGATGGTCAGGTGGTCCTCCAGGACGCTGATCCGGAAATACATCTACAAAATCACGAACAATGGGCACGTCTCTGGGTGACAGCCCTTCTGAAGTCTCCCCGACGATGTTGATGAGGAAACCCTGACAATCCTCCTTCTGTAAGATCTTCGTCGCCTTTTCCATGGAAATAACCCGTGGCAATGTTCGGGCCTTCGTCCCATAAAATGTGATATGGTCTCTTTCGGATAAATGTAGAGTCACCTCCCTGTCATGGCATCGGATGTCGGCACGGTACTTGGTCAACCAATCCATGCCAAGAATCAAGTCAAAATCATTCATGTGATAACATAAGCGTTTGCGACTAAAGTTCTCCCTCCGATATTGATGCTAAGGTTCTGAGCCAGAGAACTAGTAACTATCTTTCTTCCAGATGCAAGGCTGGTCTCGAGAGGGTCGACAGTACTCACTCCCTGGGCTCCTAAGGCGGATAAACACTTGCCCGAGACGAATGAATGCGTCGCCCCGGTATCAAACAAAGCGAAAACTGGCATATGAAATAAAGATAGCATGCTTGACATAGGACCTGGCTGCTCGGCAGCCTGGTCCTGGTCAAGCGCATAGATGTGAGCGGGTGCTCCACGCTGCTGTTGCTGCTGTCCTGGGGGTCTCTGGGCTGGCTGCCTCTGAACTAGCTGCCTTTGGGCTGGCTGCCTCTGGTCCTGCTGAGGACGTGGGCGGTCAGGACAATCGGCAATCTTGTGGCCTGGCTGATGGCAATGATAACATCCGTTCTGCCCGGCTAAGAACTCCCCCTGGTGGCGACGTCCGCAGGTGGCACAGACGGGGAAATCACGGCGGGCTGGTTGGGCTTGAGCTGGGCCCCTCTGCCTGTTGTTCCTCCGGTGGTCACGGTTATTCGCCCTCCCTTGTGGCGGTTCTGTGCCGGCTGGGGTGGCGCTAGCAGTGCAGGCTGGATGGCGGCTGGCGGTCTAGCTTGAGGCTGGGCAGTGGCATCCCTCTTGAGATATGCCTCAATCTATCGAGCCCGCTTAACAGTGTCATCATACTCAAGGTAGCCATGACTGACAATCAACAGTAGTAGGTTGCTCCTCAACCCATCCAGGAGCTGGGTGGCCTTCTTCTCCTCGGTGTCCACGAGGTGCGGAGCAAAGGCACTCTTACGAGCGAATTCACGCTCGTACTCGTCCACCGATCTGTCCCCCTGCTGTAAGACGGAAAACTCGCGAGCCATCTGATGACGGACATGGCGGGGGTAGTACTTATCCTCCATGAGCGTCTTGAGCTGCGCCCACCTCATGGCCTCGCGCTCATCCTCATCATGAAAACGCCAGTAATCATCCCACCAATCTCCGGCGGCGCCCTCAATCTGCAATTCGGCGCACGCGATCTTATGTGCCTTGGAAACGCCCATGATACGAAAAATCCGCTCCATCTTGCGTATCCATTTGCCCTCGGCTAGCGGGCCATCTTCCCCAGTGAAACGGGGCAGGTCATATGTGCGGAAGCGGCCGACTACGACGGCCCGCTCTGACTCGACCGGTGCACGAAGTGCTGGACGTGGCGGCATTCTAAAATTCCAAAAATGCTTGAAAAGATCAGTATAGCCAATTAATAAATAGCCATACTTTAGCTTAACTTCGATTAAAATAGGTAATAATATTTTTCCGAAAACATCTAGCTTGGCTAGAGCTCCGGTATGCTTAAACTTGCTAGATTCTGGCTCAAACTGGAGTTCTCACTTAGTCTAGAGTCCTTGGACTTAGTTGTTCTAGAGTTCTGTCCTCTAGAGTTATCTGTATTTATTTTTATTTTACTTTAAGGAGGATAGCTATCTAGGCCCCATACTTAAACTGAGATAAACACTTGCGAAAACTTAAACTTGGCTTACGTGACTTACCTCGGAGTCGGCGCGGAGTGAGCGTGGCGTGGTCATGCTTTTCTTAAAACTTTTTAAGGTATCTAGAACACTAACTGCTCTGATACCAAGTTGTAACACCCCGCCTTGACTAGCTTTGACTTTTAGAAATCGGAGTTAATTTTTCGCTTTTATTTTAAAAATGTCGTGCGAGTTTATTTTCGAAAATACTTACTTAATTGCGGTATGCTACTAAAACTTACTTAACTTACTATTTCGGACATTAATAAAACATACAACCCATCGAGCCACTACGGCGATAGTGAAAACATACATACGGTCCGAGAGTCTCGCACATATAGTCTAGCGGAAGCGTAACGGAATATCATGCATGTTACATAAACATACATAAATAATGGTTCATGAATATAGGACATAAAATGGAGGGTAATAATGTCCTCGGCTCATGACCACGCTAGCCACGTACGCTCACCCGACACGCTAGACTCCATCACCTGAAAAACATAATGGGGGCGTGAGCAAACCATTATGCTCCGCAAAGACCAGTACTGAATATAACAGCATCAATAATAACATATCATAACTAGAATATATAAGAGCATAAACTAAAACTTATTCATATGTCTGTGGTCTCAAAGACCCATATCGGCCTTGCTTCGGCCGCTCGTGTGCACACTACCCGATGAACCTGAAAGCCCTTACCTCGGCCCTCATCGGGTACCAGGTGGAATAAGAAGGCCCTTAGGTCGGCCTCACACCTGGGAGATCATAATACCTCGAACATACCATAGACATGGTAAAGAAATTATTGACGATGTAGAATCCAGTACATGACCCTCACCTGATAAGCTTGGAAAAATATACTGCAAGTGCTGGAATAACGGGTGTAGCTGTCGGAGGCTCGACTCTCCTCAAGCTACCGAAATATTCACGAAAATATATCTACTCAGATAACTCTTAAATATTCAATCAAACATATCATACTTAAATAATACTAATTGAGGGATAATTCAATCAAGTCCAAGCATGCTAACTTATTTTTATAAAATAAGCTAAAGGAACCCTCAAGTCTCATGATTTTTATAATATCATATATATCTCCAAATATTCTGAATCTTAGCAGTTAAATACTACACCTAGACATGCATCTCTAGTTAACATTTCAGCTCATTATCATGTCATTAGCTTGGTCAACCATTAACCTCAAATATTTAACGTATAAACATGTAATATATACGCATATGATCAAAGAATTTTATAAATTCCTACACTTATCATCTGAAGCTTACACTTGGTGACATTACCAACAACTCATACAAGAAATACCCTTAAAATTTCACATTAATCCCGCAAGTATTGAGTGAGTTCTAAAGCATCAAAGTTCAACTCGACATGTATTCGTTCAAACACATATAACTCACTCATTTCTTATGATAAAATCATGAAATTTGGTGTGCATGTTCTTAAATAATATACAAAAATGTCCTAAACATTTCATAATTTTATCCTAAGTATAACTCGAGTTGTTTGGTTTTGAAGTCGCAACTGAATTCGCGCATAGAAAGTTCAATTTGCACATCTAACTTTAAAAATCAATAACTCGAGTTATACTAGGCCAATTGACTTCATTCTTGATCCTATGAACTCCTATTTTCCACAAGAAACAACCATGAAATTCTCACACATTCCCATAATTTTCAGAGCATAGGCAAAAATGTACGAAAACATTGCATATAGAACATGTAAGAAAAACTGGAAGTACTTAACATTAAGCATGCTTTAAACCACTTAAAAACTGAACCTATGGGGAATTAACATACATCATTAAACACTTAAACTCAGCTAAAAAGCATACTAATGAGAATAGCACCTTACCTTCTTCAAAGAAAACTAAAATGAAGAAATGAAAGAGATGTTGTCCGGTGTTGCTCTTCTTGTTCGAATGTGGTGTAGTTGCTGCTTGTTTGCTCTCTTCCTTGGAACTTGGTGAACTTAATGTCTTCTAGGGTGAAAGGAGGATGAGAGGGGAAGGTTATCTTGCTGGTTCTATAATGAATGGCTGGTTAGAACTCGAATTCACTCCAAACTTGCACAAAAAAACACTCTCGGTGGTGCTTGTTTTTGCTCACGGCTTTCTCTCTTGAAGGGGAGGTTATTGCTGCGTTTTTTTCTAAGTCTTTAGGTAAGTGGAATGTTGATGAAATAGAGATGAAATAATGGCTGATGAAATGGATTTAATAAGCACATAAAAGAGGCTCAACTTGAAGAGAAGAGTGGAAGACAAAAGGAGTGGCCTACCTTCCATATTATGGTTGTCTTGACATGCACCTTTGCATGTGAGTGAGTGGAAAAGAAAGTCATTTATGGAGCTGGAGGATGTGTTGGTCGAGGGCATTAGATGAGTGGAGGGGACAAGATTTTCACAAGAAACAAACAAGGAAAGTTCATACTAGCTTTAAGGCTTAAAATATTACTAATGAAGCTTTCACTTAAATAATCACTCTTAGACTTAACTTAGCCTTATAAAACATTTAACCATCCCCTAATACACACTCAAGGTCTTAGGATTTGAAAAAGATGTAGACTAAAGATTGCTAAGGCATTGGCTCGGCTCAAGCGATTCGGCACGAACGAACGGTAACGAACCACATATTTTAGATAACATACATGAATATAAATAATGCATATAAATATATATAAACACATAGTTCACATAATGTTCACATAATCATGAAATAAAAATATTAAATCAAACAACTCGGAAAACTGAAACTTACTGGTTTTCACTTTATAGTCGAGCAAGTGAAAACTGTTCTTATTTTATTAACTGAACGTGGCGTTACAAATTAGTTAATTTATTTATTATATTATTATTTTAAATATAATAATTAATATTTTTATTATATAAATGTATATTCTAATTAATTAATATGAGCCATTGATCTAGACGAAATTAACTGCTAGGATTGAGTCTCATGTACTCATTTCAAGAAATGGACTCATTTGATTCA